ATTTGAACCGCCGACCTTCTGATCGGTGGTTTAACCCACAGCGCCACCCACATCCCTGATTTTAGTATAAATGTAGTTTTTGGTGGTTTTTTTTTAAACATTTCTACTGTTTTATTGGTTTATTGTATAGTTTGCATTCTGTTCTTAAGGGGCAAGGGTCAGGGCTGCCTGGGAGTGCCACATAATTCCATATATCCTAGAAGACGAGTCGAAACAATGGGTACACCTGGAGAGAGACACAGTTGAAAATACCCCCGCCACGTCATACCCACTCCTCTCAAACTAACCGAGGAAAAACCCACAACGCTAAACAGGTTCACACAGACCATGCTGAAAGCATGGAAGAAGTAGCTAAACTGCCCCCAAGCCCATCCCCACTAATTCCCCTGGAGGCGGCTGCAGGATGGATGGCAGCTAACGGATTGAGGTTGAATCCTGACAAGACAGAAGTACTGGTTTTGGGGGGACAGGAGGCAGGCAGGTGTGGGGGATTCCCTGGTCCTGAATGGGGTCACTGTGCCCCTGAAGGACCAGGTGCACAGCCTGGGAGTCATTCTGGACTCACGGCTGTCCATGGAGGCGCAGGTCAGTTCTGTGTCCAGGGCAGCTGTCTACCAGCTCCATCTGGTACACAGGATGAGACCCTCCCTGCCCACAGACTGTCTCGCCAGAGTGGTACATGCTCTGGTTATCTCCTGCTTGGACCACTGCAGTGCACTCTACGTGGGGCTACCTTTGAAGATGACTCAGAAACTGCAACTAATCCAGAATGCAGCAGCTAGACTGGTGACTGGGAGTCACCAGTCCTCCCATCAAATGTCAGGGCAATAAACAACTACAGTGGTACCTCTGGTTACGTACTTAATTCGTTCTGGAGGTCTGTTCTTAACCTGAAACTGTTCTTAACCTGAAGCACCACTTTAGCTAATGGGACTCCCACTGCCACCGCGCCACCACCGCATGATTTCTGTTCTCATCCTGAAGCAAAGTTCTTAACCCAAGGTACTATTTCTGGGTTAGTGGAGTCTGTAACCTGAAGTGTATGTAACCTAAAGTGTATGTAACCCAAGGTACCACTGTATTTTACTTTTAAAAGCCAACTGAAGGTGGTCCAGTTTTGGGAAGTTTTTAATGTCTGACGCTGTATTGTTTTTAACATTTGGTTGGAAGCCGCCCAGAGTGGCTGGGGAAACCCAGCCAGATGGGCAGGGAATAAATAATAAATTATTATTATTATTATTATTATTATTATTATTATTATTATTATTATTCCCCTGGCACACCACCCACTATTCCACCACGCAGCACAAAACCTCCAGATAAAAACCTGGCAAGCCAAAGGCTTATACCCCCTAGCAGACCTCTACAAAAATAACAAACCCATATCAACAAAAGACAAACTAGGGGACACCCAAATTCCCTGGGCTAACACATCACCAGTTACACGCCCTCTTGAACGATCCAGTGGCATAAACAACCCTGCTCAGCGTAAGAAACTCCTGGAAAGCTGGAGGGCCTTTGCCCTGCCTTGAGTCTTGAAGACTCCCTCCCTGCAAGGCCTTTTCCCACCTAGCCTAGGGGATGGGGCCAGACTAGCTTCAGACTCCTGGAAGGGACATTGCCCCGCTGTGATGGCTGAAGAGCTGGAATGAACTCTGGGGTTGGGGCAAATGTCGAAAATGCTTTTAAATGTTTTAAGATAGTGGGGCTGAAGGTGACCCGGAAACTGCAACAGAATGCGGCAGCTAGACTGGTGACTGGGAGCGGCCGCCGAGACCATATAACCTGGTCCTGAAAGACCGACATTGGCTCCCAGTACATTTCTGAGCACAATTCAAAGTGTTGGTGCTGACCTTTAAAGCCCTAAATGGCCTCGGCCCAGTATATTTGAAGGAGCGTCTCCACCCCCATTGTTCAGACCAGACACCGAGGTCCAGCGCCGAGGGCCTTCTGGCGGTTCCCTCCCTGCGAGAAGTGAGGTTACAGGGAACCAGGCAGAGGGCCTTCTCGGTGGTGGCACCCGCCCTATGGAACGCCCTCCCACCAGATGTCAAGGAAATAAACAACTACCTGACATTCAGAAGACATCTTAAGGCAGCCCTGTTCAGGGAAGTTTTTAATGTGTGACGTCTTAGTGTATTTTTGGTCTCTGTGGAAGCTGCCCAGAGTGGGTGGGGAAACTTTTAGAAGACATCTGAAGACAGCCCTGTTTAGGGAAGTTTTTAACGTTTGATGTTTTATTGTGCTTTTAATGTTCTGTTCGAAGCCGCCCGGAGTGGCTGGGGAAACCCAGCCGGATAGGCGGGGAAGAAATAATAAATTATTATTTATTATTATTAATCTGTGGCATTTAAAATTTTGTTTTTGTTGTTGTTTTGTTTTGGCTCTGCTGGGGCTGGGGATTAGTTTAATTTCAGTATAATTATAAATTGTTATTATTAGTTTCTACTGTTTCATTGATTTGTTGTATGGTTTGTGTTCTGTTCTTAAGGGGAGAGGGGGGTCAGGGCTGCCTGGGAGTGATCACGGGCAGGAGGAGGAGTTATGCTAAGACCAGACCACATCATTACTGAGGAGGCATGTTTAGTCGTTATTTGAAGACCATCCCTGCCTCTGGGTCTGGTCTTGACCGGAAGGATACCCGAATCGACAAGGGAGACCCACATGACCTGAAGGTGCTACTGTGCAATGCCAGGTCAATGATTCACAAGTCAGCTGTCATCCACGACTTGATGGTGGATGGAGGACTTGACCTGGCATGTGTGACAGAGAAGCACATGGAAAGACTCTGCCATCTTCTGGCATGTGTTTGAGTGTGTGGCCAAAAATGACAGCAAGTACAGCCATACCTCTTGTTACGTTTGCTTCAGGTTAAATCTTTTCAGGTTGCGTCCCGCAGAGATCCAGAAGTACCAGAAAGGGTTACTTCTGGGTTTCGCTGCTCGTGCAGATGCGATGAATCGCAACCCGCGCAGACGCGGGTTGTGTTCTGCTCATGTTGTGAATGGGGCTCCGGAACGGATCCTGTTCGCAACCAGAGGTATGGAATACAGTGGTACCTCAGCTTAGAACTCAATTCGTTCCAGAGGTCCATTCTTAACCTGAAACTGTTCTTAACCTGAGACGCCACTTTAGCTAATGGGGCCTCCTGCTGCCGTTGCACTGCTGGAGCACGATTTCTGTTCTCATCCTGAAGCAAAGTTCTTAATCTGGGGTACTATTTATGTGTTAGCGGAGTCTGTAACCTGAAGCGTCTGTAACCTGAATAATAATCATCATAATAATTTATTATTTATACCCCGCCCATCTGGCTGGGTTTCCCCACCCACTCTGGGTGGCCTCCAACAAGGTATTAAAATACAGTGGTCTGTTAAACTTTAAAAGCTTCCCTAAAGAGGGCTGCCTTCAGATGTCTTCTAAAAGTCTGGTAGTTGTTCTTTTCTTTGACATCTGATGGGAGGGCGTTCCACTGGGCGGGTGCCACCACTGAGAAGGCCCGCTGCCTGGTTCCCTGTAACCTCACTTCTCGCAGTGAGGGAACCGCCAGAAGGCCCTCGGAGCTGGATCTCAGTGTCCGGGCTGAACGATGGGGGTCTGTAACCCGAGGTACCACTCCTGGGTAGCATATTTTAGTACCATCGTTGTGTCAGGACTAACTTATCAAGCACCATCTAAGACTAACACAAATTTTTCCCAATGTGGCTCCCAGTCTCCTCTTGAGAAATCTGACATCTCTAAATTAAAACCAGGCAGAGCTCGTGGGTGTGACAACATACTCCCCAAATTGCTGAATGCAAACATTAGGTTGGTGGGTTCCTATACTTGCATCTTTATTCACATTTACTGACCACATATGACATATACCTTAGGACTGGGGTATAATCCCAATCCACACAAAAAAGTGAAATACCAGACCCAGCAAACTATATACCAATCAGTCTCCTGAGTGTAACCAGTAAATTAAATGCCTGCAGGAGAAACTATTAGACTGGACAGAGCAAGAAAACATCCTCAAAGATGAGCAAGCCAGTTTCAGAGTGGGGAGATTCACAGCTGACCGAGGACCAATGCTTTGATTTATTGCTGAAAAGTCAGCAACTAAAGAAAGGCCTCATGCTGCATTTATTGACTTTAATTCAGCCTTCGCTTCAATTCCCAGAAGCAGCTTATAGGGAGAGTTTGAGGCTACTAACATTGGTAAAACTCTGCACACACTCTATGAAAATACACATTTGAAAGTCAGATGCAGTCATGCTGGCTGGTTAACAAGTCTCCACCCCCATCATTCTACCCGGACACTGAGGTCCAGCGCTAAGGGCATTCTGGTGGTTCCCTCACTGCGAGAAGCCAAGTTACAGAGAACCAGGCAGAGGGCCTTCTCGGTGGTGGCCCCTGCCCTGTGGAACACCCTCCCACCAGATGTCAAAGAGAACAACAACTACCAGACTTTTAGAAGACATCTGAAGGCAGCCCTGTTTAGGGAAGCTTTTAATGTTTGATGTATTGCAGTATTTTAATATTTTGTTGGAAGCTGCCCAGAGTGGCTGGGGAAGCCCAGCCAGATGGGCGGGGTATAAATAATGAATTATTATTATTATTATTATTATTATTACCCACCTATAAAGGAGTAAGACAGGGGTGTGTCCTGACCACCACTTTGTTCAATATTTTATATCAATTCCCTTTTCAGTTCTTTTCCTTCATTTCTTTCTCCACCCCCATTTTGCACTTCTATTGCCTAGATTTTTGGTTTGCTTAAAAAAAAGGGGAGAAGATATGTTTTCTACTTTTCTCTATAAACCTTAATAATTTTATTTTTTAAATGAAATTTGAACCTGTGAAGGTTTAGAAAAGAAGTGGCTTGTTTTCTAGCAAGTTAATTTTAATTCTCATCCCTCCCAAGAAATTGCAACCATCTGCTCAAGTCAAGTTTCCCATTCTCTCTACAGAAGTGCAATTGCACTAGGACAACAACGGGCCTCCTTAGCTACCGGCCAGGGATGAGCGACTCTGAGCATGGCCCGGCCACCGGCGACGAGGACGGCGGGGAACCCGAGGAGGAAGAGGAAGAGGAAGAGGAGGAAGCCGCTGCCGGAGATGGAGACCCGGCGCAGGGGAGCCGGAAAGCCCGGGGTGGCCGCAAGGCCCGGGGTAGGCCGCGGCTCACGGAGTCCGACAGAGCCCAGCGCCGCCTCGAGTCTCGTAAGAAGTACGACATGCGGCGCGTCTACCTGGGAGAGTCCCATGGCCCCTGGTCGAACCTGAGGCAACGCAGCGGCTGGAGCGACGCCAAGCTGGCCGCGTACTTGCTGGGCTTGGAACGGGAGCAGCGGGCCGGGCGCCGAGGGAAACTCTGGGAGCAGCTGCCGTACGAGCCGCAAAGGAAGAAGCGAAGGCGGCGGAACGTGAACTGCCTGAAGAACGTCGTCATCTGGTACGAAGACCACAAAAACCGCTGCCCCTACGAGCCCCACCTCTCCGAGCTGGACCCCACCTTTGAGATGTACACAACGGCCGTGTGGCAGTGCGAAGCGGGCCACCGCTATTTCCAGGACTTGCACTCGCCTCTCAAGCCGCTCAGCGACTCCGAGAACGAGGGCGGCCATGCCGGAAGCTGCGGGAATTCCGACGAGAGCTCCAGCTCGGAGGCCGAAGAGCGGTCAGAGGGCCGGACACAGCGGCAGCCGACAGAAAATAAGGAGGGTGAGAGCACAAGCGGGCTCATTACTCGGGACGGCATCCACGTTCCGTTTGAGTACCATATAGAGAACCTGGCGTCAGAGCAGGGACCTGGCGTGTGCCCACCCCTCGGCGGCCCACAGACCATGGAAACTGTGGTGTGCGTTCCGGTGCCGGTGCAGATGAGTTCGGGCCACGGGACTCTCTTTGACAACGTGACACCAGAGACACTTAGCGAGGTGGTGGCCAGCTGTCCCGTCCAGGGTGTGGCGCAGGGCTCACAGGTGATCATCATCGCCGGGCCCGGCTATGATGCCCTCACGGCTGAGGGCATCCAGTTGAATGTCACCAGCACAGGCGCAGAGGAGCTGCCCTGCGCCATGATTGAGGGCGTGGCGGCGGCCTACGCTCAGACGGAGCCTGAGAACGGACAGCCCAGTAGCATGGAGAGTGTGGAATACATCGAAACCAAACGAGAAAATGAGGAGCTTTTGGAGCTCAAAAAGGAGGAGCCCCAGCCCCTGGCGGAAATAAGGACGCCCTGTGACCCAGAGCCAGACCCTGAGAGTGTGGGGCTGGAAGCAGAGGAGGAGACCGAGGGCATCAACATGTCCTCCATCATCTACGAGATTCCAAAGGAGCCCGAGAAGAGGCGGAGGAGCAAAAGGGGCCGTGTGATGGACGCCGACGGCATGCTGGAGATGTTCCATTGCCCCTATGAAGGCTGCACCCAGGTGTACGTAGCACTTAGCAGTTTCCAGAACCACGTTAACCTCGTCCACCGGAAGGGGAAGACGAAGGTGTGTCCCCACCCAGGTTGCGGCAAGAAGTTCTACCTTTCCAACCATCTCCGGAGACACATGATCATCCACTCCGGAGTCCGCGAATTCACCTGCGAGACCTGCGGGAAATCCTTCAAGCGCAAGAACCACCTGGAAGTCCACCGCCGGACGCACACAGGGGAGACGCCGCTCCAGTGCGAGATCTGCGGTTACCAGTGCCGGCAGCGAGCGTCTCTCAACTGGCACATGAAGAAACACACCTCGGAGGCCCAATACAACTTCACCTGCGAGCACTGCGGAAAGCGCTTTGAGAAACTGGACAGCGTCAAGTTCCACAAGCTAAAGAGCCACCCGGATCACAAAGCTGCCTGATCCAGACTTTATTTATTTATTATTGCCCCATTATAGGTTCCCAGCCAACGGAGGGCACTTCTTTGCACATTCACAGCTGGAGATGTGATGTGTGTTACCTGCGGCAGAGAATTACATCCCATAATCCAGGGGTAGGCAAACTAAGGCCCGGGGGCTGGATGCGGCCCAATCGCCATCTCAATCCGGCCCGCGGACGGTCCAGGAATCAGCGTGTTTTTACATGTGCTTTTATTTAAAATGCATCTCTGGGTTATTTGTGGGGCCTGCCTGGTGTTTTTACATGAGTAGAACGTGTGCTTTGATTTCAAATGCATCTCTGGGTTATTTGTAGGGCATAGAAATTCGTTCATTTATTTTTTCTCCCAAAGTATAGTCCGGCCCACCACACGGTCTGAGGGACGGTGGACCGGCCCACGGCTGAAAAATCTTGCTGACCCCTGAGTGTGGCGTGCACCAGCTTTTTAAGAGCAGATGGTGACAGACTTCAAGTTTTAGTTCTGTTGTGCAGGTGTTCTCAGGTATCGGGGTGGAGCGGTGGGGAATTGTTCAAAACAGCATCAGATCTGGAGATTGTACTGCTACAGCTCTCCACAAGAGGGGAAATGATGCTATATTAATAGACAAGAAGAATCTTAGCCAATTAAACTATCAGTACAGTGGTACCTTGGGTTACATACGCTTCAGGTTACATACGCTTCAGGTTACAGACTCCGCTAACCCAGAAATAGTACCTAGGGTTAAGAACTTTGCTTCAGGATGAGAACAGAAATCGTGCTTTGGCGGCAGCGGGAGGCCCCATTAGCTAAAGTGGTGTTTCAGGTTAAAAACAGTTTCAGGTTAAGAACGGACCTCCGGAACAAATTAAGTACGTAACCAGAGGTACCACTGTACTTTGTTTGCTGCTGAACAGCACCTTTGCTTGTCTGGCAGTTTGAAGCTTGGATCTGAGGTAGGAGGGTCCAATTCGCCTACCACTACAGTGGTACCTCGTGTTACAGACGCAGGTTACAGACTCTGCTAACCCAGAAATAGTACCTCGGGTTAAGAACTTTGCTTCAGGATGAGAACAGAAATTGTGCTCCGGCGGCACGGTGGCAGCGTGAGGCCCCATTAGCTAAAGTAGTGCTTCAGGTTAAGAACAGTTTCAGGTTAAGAACAGAACGAATTAAGTTCTTAACCCGAGGTACCACTGTACTTACAGAGAGGCTGACTGGGAAAACTATATCGGATTCACATGACGGGTTTGTATCTATTGACTACAATACAAGATGACTCTTTGGCTGAGGGGTGGGGGGAAAAGTGCAAATATAGCCTTGGAGTGACCTCTGTACAAAAGTAGGCATTGTTACAAAGCTAGAAGAAACTCAAGAGTGATAACGAACAGTACGAGAAAATAATAATTATTGGGACCCTCGATCGGGGGGGAACGGGAAGTTACCACTGAAATTATGATGTGATGAAATTCATGTATCTTTTGAAAGCTCTGTATCTTTTTGATTTTGCGCCTATGATTTGTACTTACCATAAAAACTCAATAAAGCATTAAAAAAAGAGACTACAATACAAGATGACTCTTTGGCTGGAAAAAGAAGAACTGCAAATACTAACTGATTAAATACTAATTTAAACACATTGGTTTGCAATTACATGGAGTAGAACCCTTAATCATCTAAACAACTAGAGACATCTCACAAGACAGGGACACAGCACACACCTGGCTTGAAGGGAGACTTTATTGATAATTTTGAGTTGATTGATTTAACTGAAATAACCTCCCACAGAAACATGTTTGGTTTCAAGGGAGTAGGGCTGGGTGCTAGGAATTAAAAACTCCAGCAGTTATTGTTTGTGGTGTCCTGAGGCTCCTGTACTTTTACAGCTTATTGGAATAGCCTGGAAATAAAGTTTACTTGAAGTTTTCAATGGCTGCAGATTTTAAAAGCCAGGACTTTACTATTTCCCAGTGCGACCACTTCACAGCTGTCCATGGAGGCGCAGGTCAATTCTGTGTCCAGGGTGGCTGTCTCCCAGCTCCATCTGGTACGCAGGATGAGACCCTACCTCTCCGCAGACTGTCTCGCCAGAGTGGTGCATGCTCTGGTTATCTCCTGCTTAGAATACTGCCATGCGCTCTTTGTGGGGCCACCTTTGAAGGTGACCCAGAAGCTACAAGTAATCCAGAATGCAGCAGCTAGACTGGTGACTGGGGGCGGCCGCCGAGACCACATAACACCGGTCTTGAAAGACCTACATTGGCTCCCAGTACATTTCTGAGCAAAATTCAAAGGGTTGGTGCTGATCTTTCAAGCCCTAAACGGCCTCAGTCCAGTATACCTGAAGGAGCATCTCCACCCCCATCGTTCTGCCCGGACACGGAGGTCCAGCTCCGAGGGCCTTCTGCCAGTTCCCTCCCTGAGAGAAATGAAATTACAGGGAAACAGGCAGAGGGCCTTCTCAGTGGTGGCACCTGCCCTGTGGAACGCCCTCCCACCAGATGTCAAGGAAATAAACAACTCCCTGACTTTTAGAAAACATCTGAAGGCAGCCCTGTTTAGGGAAGCTTTTAATGTTTAATAGCTTTTAATATTTGATGAATTATTGTATTTTTATATTTTGCTGGAAGCCACCCAGAGTGGCTGGGAAAACCCAATCCGATGGGTGGGGTATAAATAAATTATTATTTCCTCCCCCCCTTTCCCCCCTATTATGTTTTTACTGTAATTTTATTGGTGTCAGCTGCCCTTAGCCCGGCTCTGGCTGGGGAGGGCAGGGTATAAATAAAACTTATTATTATTGTTATTATTATTAGAGCAGCTGACTAGCAGTTTTATTTAAGCAACAGGAATAAGCACAACTGAGTCTATGGAGGACATAATTGTTAACTAAATGATTAAAAAACACCACCACCAGTGGTGTTCTTCTTAAACCGACTCTCCTGACTGTTCCCTGCTTGAATTCTAGCAAGCGGCATCCCTGCCAAAATCGTGGCCGCCGTTGATGTGAACACAGTGGCCAATGAGGTTTACATTCACAACTTTCCCGCCACCCCACTGTGGCCTAAGACAATCGAGGTGAGTAGTCGGGACGATGCGAAACTAATTCCCTTGCAAATTCGGAGTTCTGATCTCAGTCCGGGTTAAACTGACAGGTCAACTTGATAAATTAACAGGAAGGATCCAAGGCCTATGAGACCACAGATTCACTGAAGACTGGAGTAAATTTGTAGACTATTTGAAAAGTATTTGCGATGAATAATTAACGTTTGTAGGTTTGCAAGAGGCTCTGTGAAAATAATATTAGAAATATTGTAGAAAAGGGAATAAGAGGCAGGAGGTTTTTAATAAAAGGCAATATTAGATTAAGAAATGCGGAAGAAGGACTAAAACGGAGGATTTGCAGAAGAGCTGAGGGAACTCAAAAAAATGTATTTGTGAAAAATTGTGTTACGTGTTTTTATATTTTTGTATTGCAAAATGAATAAAAAAATAATTAAAAAAAAAGGAGAGAGGGAGGTTGGTCATGTGGAAGTGGAAGCGCCCCTAGTTATAAATGGATTGCATTTGTCTTTCTTTTGCAGTTGAAATGGAAATATCCTTGCTTTTGGAATAGGCACACACAATTAAGAGCCAAAAATTTGTTTTTGTCTCAGTAGCTTACATAAACCTGGAAACAATATTATAGCCACTTATCCTGCATGGAATATATCCTTGCTGGAAAAGATTTTTTGTTTTGTTTTTACTAGTTATACCAAACCATTGTAGGTTGCAAAATGTCATGGATATGGTAAATAACATGTTGAAGTAAATTTAAAAATCTAGGCTTTGCTTGAAAAATAAATAAATAAATAAACTGACAGGTCAGGATTTGTAAGAAAGCGAACTAGGTGTTTCCACCAAAGCCACAGGGACCCGTGTTGCTAGTTAACTTTGAGGCTGGATTACTGTAAAGCCGTCTTATGTGGGTTTGCCCTTGAACCCAGATCAGACATTGCAGTTGGTACATTATGTTGCAGATAGGGTGCCGTCAGGGCCAGATTTAGGTTTGATGCGGCCCTCAGCTCCTGAAGGTAATGGGGCCCTTGATATGTCCAGCTGTCCTTTGTCAACAACAAATTATTGCCGTTTTTGTGTGTTGAATATATGCTAATTTATGGACCCAATAGGTATCTCAAGTCATTTGCACATGCAGAATGTAGGCACCCTATATATAGAAAGGAGCAAACCTGTGATATTTTAGGGAGCAGGCTAGCAGGTGGGGCCCCTGACTTCCATCATAGGAGCCAACACAACACAAACAGTAAAATAATAATAATAAAATTTTATTTATATCCCGCCCTCCCCAGCCGAAGCGAGGCTCAGAGCAAACAAAACACTGTTGCTGTATTTTAATTTGTTTTTTTATCTTATATTTTGGAAATGTACATCTAGTTCCCCCCCACCCTTTAATTTTTTTGGGGGCCCCCAAGAGAGTGGGGCCCTGAGCTATAGCTTGTTCAGCTTATATATAAATCCAGCACTGGGCGGCCTCCTGTGAACACAAATCACTCGCCCTTAAATAACTGTGTTCACTGCCGGTTCACTCCCTGTATGGGACAGCTCAGCTGCATATTCCTGCATTTCAGCGGGTTGGACTGGATGATCTCCAGGGTCCCTTCCAAGTCTACAATTCTATTGACTCTATGACTGCCTAGCACCTTTGTTCGAGCATCGACAACTCTCTTAAAAATGCTGTGTTTTCTTCTTGTGGGCATTTAAATTTTAACAATGTTTTGAAAGGTTTCTAATCTATTTTAATTTTATTTTTGTAAGCTTCCACTGTTAATCTCATTGGAATAACTTTGGAGCTGTTCCTGCTGTTCTCTTAAAGGGATTAGCTAATAAAATTCTGGGCTATGCACAGTCCTCATGGCTCTTTGACGTGACTTAACCGCAACTGCAAAGAACATCGTCTGTGTATTAGAGAATGGCTCTCCTTATGACAAAACACATGGATTTAGCAGCGTTACTTTTATAAGCTAAAGCGGCAACATGCAAAATGGAATGTGAACACATCCTATTTTAACACAGAAGGAAAGAATGAAAGCCCTTTGTGGCTTAGGGCCCTCGTATTTATGGGACCGCCTCTCCTGGTCTGCCCCACAGAAGACCTTAAGGTCCATGAACAACCATAGTTTAGAGGTCCCGGGCCCTAAGGAAGTCAGATTATCCTTCCCCCAGGGCCAGGGCCTTCTCAGTGGTGGCTCCAACCTGGTGGAATGCTCTGTCCCATGAGACCAGGGCCCTGCAGGATTTAACTTCCTTCCGCAGAGCCTGTAAGATAGAGCTATTCCACCTGGCTTTCAATTTGAACTTAGCCTGATCTTTTATTCCCCTTCCTTCCCTCCCCTCCCCTTTTTATGAAGATTACCCACTCTGGGATCCCACAGCTAATTCTCCCCTGGTCTCCTCGCTGGCCCAAATAAGGACTAATTTAGCCAGCTGGTCCTGGTGATCATCAAATGTTTATTGGATGGATTTCCCCCCTAAATTGATTTTTGAATTCTGAATTTATTGTTATTCACGTTTTATACTGTATTTTATGCTGTTTTTTGTTGCATCAATTAAGTTTTAAATTTATTGTTAGCTGCTCTGAGCCCGGTTTTCTGAACTGGGAATGGCAGGGTATGAATAAAAAATTATTATTATTATCATTCATAATGTAAAATGCCTAACTGATTTATTTATTTAGGGAATATCCCTGAAGGACTTTGACAGGTTGTCTTTCGATATGATCTTGATGAGCCCTCCTTGTCAACCCTTTACGAGGTGCGTGTTTCAAATTCCCCGTTTCTGTTTAAAAGGAGAGGAAAACATGTGCTGATGTAGATCTTATGGTATTAAATGCTTCCAGAAGGGATATCGGATAGCTTGACTTTTTTTTCATTTAAGGTTGTTTTTTTTTTAATGAAGTACAATAGTACAAAAATTAATGACATTTAATAAAGTAAAAAAACAAAAAACAATACTCTTAGATGTACATTGCACCAGGCTAAATGATAAAACCTTTAGATATATATGGTGGCGTACAAATTTAATAAATAAATATTAATAAATTTAATTAATAAATATTAAGTTTTACTTGCAGTCAACCCACTGAGAGTAATCTCTCTAAGTTAGGCATGTCTGTTAATTCCAATGGGTCTACCCTGAGTAGGGCTTCCACACCAAACTCTTATTTGTGTGAAATGAAAGATGGAATAAATTCTCTAGTCAGAACTCAGAGCTCCATGCAAGAAAGTTGAGTCACGTTTGCCAATAGCTTTGATTCTCTTCTCTTCCTTGTCTGCAGAATCGGCCGACAGGGCGATGTTTCGGACCCCAGGACCCGGAGCTTTCTCTATATTCTGGATATTCTTCCAAGGTAATCAGCTCAAAAGTGGCTTTTCTTAAGGCGATTTCCCTTCTCTAGATTTTCTGAAATACACACAGAAATACTGCTCTGTAAGCAAACCGTTTTGTGCAACCTCTCCAACCCTGAAAAGAGTCTAGTTTGGGTGGGTAATGTTACCTGGAAGTCTGCAAACACACTTCTAATCTTCCTTGGCCAAGCATGTCTGAGTAGAAGAAGAAGAGAAGAGTTTGGATTTGATATCCCGCTTTATCACTACCCGAAGGAGTCTCAAAGAGGCTAGCATTCTCCTTTCCCTTCCTCTCCCACAACAAACACTCTGTGAGGTGAGTGGGGCTGAGAGACTTCAGAGAAGTGTGACTGGCACAAGGTCACCCAGCAGCTGCATGTGGAGGACACAAGAATTGCCCACCCGAGAAGAATGGCAGAGGAAAGTGATGGACTATATGGAACTGGCTGAGATGACCGGCAGAATTCGAGATCAGGAAGAAGGGTTGATGGAAGAAGACTGGAAAAAATTTAAAATATATCTTCAGAAACACTGTAATATAAAAGAATGTTAGAAAAGGTTGGAGAAGAATACTAGACCGTATTGGCAGACAGGGTATAATGGAATAAGTAAATATGAAGTGTAAAATGAGGATAGAGGAGAATTAAATACTTTCGAATGTTAAAATAAGTAAAAGAAAAGAAGGTTAGAAGGATTTGCTGGAGATACAATTTAAACTAGAATACAAAGCAGGGAGGTGAGAGGAAGTCATGGAAATAAGTAAATGAGAAAATGGTTGTAATGGTCTAATTTGATTTTTGTCATTTTTTACTGTGATTTTTTGTCTTTTTTATTTCTTTTTTACTGTCTGTTTTTTGTAAGATGTATGTGGTTTGTTTTTTTTTCTATATCTTTTTTTGTAACTTTAAAATTGGAATAAATATTCTTTAAAAAAAAAATTAGTGGGAAATTGCAAAAACAAACAAACAAACAAACAAAACAAATACACAGGATCAATATTCAGATTCCACTAGCTCTTGTGTTACTGAAATAACGATCACATGCTTTCTCTGCCTGGGGCCCCTGATCCTAGAAATGCTGAATTTTTTTATTTTTATTTTATTATTATTATTATTTGGTCATCTTTTGAGAGAAATGGGCTGCCACACGGTTCAGATGTCAAATGCAGAAGGCATCTTAGTGTAATGGAAGTTTTGATCCAAACCGTATCATTTTAATAACTATCCTTTATAAACAAATTCTTTTGCAGACTAGCCAAGCTACCCAAATATTTACTTTTGGAAAACGTCAAAGGCTTCGAAACATCTTCTGCTAGGTATGGTGAAATATACCAAGTCGCAAAGTGATTTCATGCTCTTTGTTGCAGCTCGTCAACAGTGAATGAATTTTCCCCAAAACCTCAGGCTTTTATACACATTATTTACACAACGGGTCCCGTCTGATTGGCTGATTCTGCTTCCCTGCTGGATCCTGATTGGGCTGCTCCCACAGGCCAATCAGGTTATTGCATTCTAGGATCCTATCTACCTATTGTTCTAGGATCCAAGCTCAGTAAATAACATTTGGTGGAATTACTTATTTTCTTATTTGCTGGAGGGGCGGGAGAGAATCACAGATATGATGCAAAAGGTCTCTTCAGGCTGGAAAATGTTGTTTTCGGGGGGGGGGGCGGGGCGGAGAGATTTGACATAGAAAATATAATATCTGCTTTGGAAGGAGGCTTTTGGTGGTCATCTAAGTCCGGGTGACTCAGCGTAACAGTTTGCAAGTAGAAAATATACATAGCACAACACTTGAGGCATTTAACTTGTCATAGTCCAATTCATTGTTTTTTAATATGTATATATGTATTGTATTGCCAGAGATGAACTCATACGAACACTAGAGAAGTGTGGATTTACATATCAAGAATTTCTCTTGTCTCCAACTTGCGTGAGTAATGTCATAACCAAAAACAAATCGAACTCTAAAAGTTCCCATGTAGATCTACGCTTTTTGTGTGTGAAAAAGATGACTGGATAGTCAGTCTTTTACGTAGTGTTACTGTGGGGTCAGAAATGATTATTGAGCCTGTTTTTATATAAAATAACCAGCTATATTCGCTTCTTTATAAAATTGTGCTTGCTGTCTCTGTTTCCCTGTTGGAGAATCTATCAGGTGTTATGCTAAGGAAAGCCAGTTTGCAGTCCATCAACCTGGCCTTTTGAAGTTGAATTTCTCCCGTTGTCTATTTGTCAGTAAAGGGACCCCTGACCATTAGGTCCAGTTGCAGACGCCTCTGGTGCTGCGTCGCTCATCTCGCTTTATTGGCTGAGGGAGCCAGCGTACAGCTTCTGGGTCATGTGCCCAGCATGACTAAGCCACTTCTGGCGAAACCAGAGCAGCGCACGGAAACGCCATTTACCCATAGCTGTCCCTTTTTTAAAGGGAAATTTCCTTATTCCAAATAGGATTCCTCGCAAGAAAAGGGTAAAGTTGACAGCTATGCATTTACCTCCCACCTATTTATCTACTTGCACTTTGACGTGCTTTTGAACTGCTAGGATGGCAGGAGCTGGGACCGAGCAACAGGAGCTCAGCCCGTTGTGGGGATTCGAACCGCCGACCTCCTGATCAGCAAGCCCTAGGCTCAGTGGTTTAACCCACAGTGCCACCCGCGCGTCTATTTGTTAGGGACTCATTAATTACCTCTTACCAGCTCGTTTGGAATGTGTTAAGGCAGGGGTCAGCAACCTTCTTCAGCCGTGGGCCAGTCCACCATCCCTCAGACCATGTGGTGATCTGGACTATATTTTGAAGAAAAAAAATGAATGAAATCCTATGCCCCACAAATAACTCAGAAATGCATTTTAAATAAAAGCACACATTCTACTCATGTAAAAACACGCTGATTCCCTGACTGTCCGCGGGCCAGATTGAGAAGGCGATTGGGCCAGATCCAGCCCCCAGGCCTTAGGTTGCCTACCCCTGCATTAAGGAGTCATTTTATTGCTCAAGGCCTGTAGATAGCAAAGAGGCACCTAAGAGTGAAAGATTTACAATCCAAGGTAACAAGGAGAATTAGGAGATGCTGAGTTAAGAAAGTAAAGTAAAGGTAAAGGGACCCCTGACCATTAGGTCCAGTCATGGACGACTCTGGGGTTGCGGCGCTCATCTCGCTTTATTGGCCGAGAGAGCCGGTGTACAGCTTCTGGGTCATGTGGCCAGCATGACTTCTGGCGAACCAGAGCAGCACACGGAAACGCCGTTTACCTTCCCGCCGGAGCGGTACCTATTTATCTACTTGCACTTTGATGTGCTTTTGAACTGCTAGGTTGGCAGGAGCAGGGACTGAGCAACGGGAGCTCACCCCGTCGTGGGGATTCGAATCACCGACCTTCTGATTGGCAAGTCCTAGGCTCTGTGGTTTAACCCACAGCGCCATCCGCATCCCTTTGTTAAGAAAGTACGCACGTGTAAATATCTCATGAATATCAAAAGACACATCCCTTGTCCTTAAATTACTAATTTAAATGTACATGGGATGTATGTGACTGTATGTGACTTGTGGGGGACACATGTCAAGGAACAGAAGGAGCAGACCCTGAACTGGGCATCGTCAGCTGCAAGTTCTTAACCAAAAGAAATTAGGGGAGGGACAAAAGGGGAGACAGGGGGGAAACGCAGTTTTAAAAGCCTGATGTAGGCGTCCTCATGGCCGGCCAACCTTCTTCTGTACCCTTATTCAATTGAATTAAACAATGTTTTGGATCTCCTGCCTACAGGCTCTTATTGGTGTCAGCAGTGCCTGGAACAATTTAAGGTTTGATTAGCAGACCCCAACATTACTACCCGGATCAAGGCTACTCCAACTAGGGTTTGATGATGATGATGATGGCATTAGTACCCTGCCCATCTGACTGGGTAAACCCAGCCACTCTGGGTGGCTTCCAGCATATATAATAATAATAATAATAATAATAATAATAATAATAATAATTTATTATTTATAACCCGCCCATCTGGCTGAGTTTCCCCAGCCACTCTGGGCGACTCCCAATCACATGTTAAAAACGATACAGCATTAAATATTAAAAGCTTCCCTAAACAGGGCTACCTTCAGATGTCTTTTCAAGAGAAGATAGCTAGTTATTTCCTTCACATCTGAAGGGAGGGTGTTCCACTGGGCGGGCGCCACCACTGAGAAGGCCCTCTGCCTGGTTCCCTGTAACTTGGCTTCTTGCAATGAGGGAACTGCCAGAAGGCCCTTGGAGCTGGACCTCAGTGTCCTGGCAGAACGATGGGGGTGGAGACGCTCCTTCAGGTATACAGGACCGAGGCCGTTTAGGGCTTTCAAGGTCAGCACCAACACTTTGAATTGTGCTCGGAAACGTGCTGGGAGCCAATGCAGATCTCTCAGAACCGGTGTTATGTGGTCCCGGCGGCCGCTCCCAGTCACTAGTCTAGCTGCCGCATTCTGGATTAATTGCAGTTTCTGGGTCACCTTCAAAGGTAGCCCCACGTAGAGCGCATTGCAGTAGTGCAAGCGGGAGATATGAAAAAACATAATAGAACATTGAAAAGCGTCCCTTTACAGGGCTGCCTTCCCTCTGCCTGGTTCCCTGTCGCTTCACTTCTCGCAGTGAGGGAACCGCCAGAAGACCCCCCCCCTGTTTAGGACAGTGTTATTGTTTTGTTATAATAAAACCTGGCATTTTGATAACTTGGCTGTTCTGCATGCTGTGGGCCTCGGTTACTTATTGCAGTCTTTTCCTTGCAGCTTGGCATCCCAAACTCAAGACTAAGGTATTTCCTGATCGCAAGGCTTCAGTCGGAGCCTTTTCCTTTTCAAGACCCTGGTAAGGTGAGGCTGTAGCCTTCTTAGACTTTACCGACTGGTGGGGTCTGTATTGCTCCCGGACGGGAGGAAGGAAGTCAAATGACACCGAATAGCAGAAGGCACTTGCGTGGTCAAGTCCAAAGAAATGAGAAATTTCATGCAGTATATATATCCTCCAGGCACCCTCTTCCCCCTTCCCCAGGAATCCAGCCACGTCAGCTTATACACGCAGGTTGACATCACACATGTACCTGCTCCAGTACTCTTAACCATAAAAGGGTGTTCCCCTTCCTGTATTCCTTATCTTGGGGTAAGAAGGTCTCCTGGCGCTGTTCCCGGACTAGGTCTGTACGTCAGAGTGTGGTCAGGATGTAAGATAAGACCCAGACATGCCATCCCTGCTCCACTGGAACAGCCAAAGCCATCCATTGTCGTCACGGACTGATAAAGGAGAGCGCTTTGAGCACTTGTTTATACAGCTGGGTTTTGGCTCAAGAGCTCAAGGTAAAGCATTTTAGAAATGGTCCTTTGGAGAAGGAAAAATGCGGATTTTGGGGCCCGTTCCAGACTGACTACACAGTCAGGTTTTTAGATTTGGGAAACCCATTCCTTCAAGGCTGTTTTCTCTGTTCTTCGCAATACCACAGCTTAGCTCGGCGCAGTAGCCAAAGACAGGGAGGCATAAACCTGCTGTGATCTCCTCTCTGGGAGCCAGTGTGGGAATGTTCAGGGAGGCAGAGAGAGGATATATTGTTTAATGATATTCTTCCTAACTTGTGTTAGCAAGTTCTATGTCTTAGCAGAGTTTAAACATCCCCCTTTAAATGCACAGCGGTTTGCTTGTTGCAGTTTCGTCTGAACCTCTCTCTTTATAAGATTCCTGGCAAGATCCCTTCTTGTCCCTCTTAAAAAGAATATACATGACAATCTTATTAAAGCGAATATAAGTTCCTTTTTAACCAGTCCTTTTAACCAGTCCTTTGGTTGACCTGATCAACATCCCATTCGCTTTTAAAATCGCTCAGAATTGGAAATCAGAGATCTTCCCGACAAAGAAAGATTGGCGGATTGTTGATGGAGTACAGCCAAGATGGATTGACAGGGCAGATAAGAGATCAAATGAAACAAAAATTCAAAAATGATTGGAATATATTTAAACAGTATCTGAAAGTCCATTATGGAGAATTAAATTTTTTGACTGGTTTAGAATAACTCCTGTAAGGAAAAATATTAAAATATAGAGGGAAAGTAGGTTTTCAAATATATAGATACATGATGATGGGTATTCAACTAAAAAAATAATAATAGAGGACCCAAGTAAGAAGGGGAGGGGAGTCAAGTGCAAATGGAATACAAATGAATTAAATGATTGAGTACATATTTTTGTTTTCTTTATTATGTTTTAGAATCACATGCTTAGTAACGGGAAAGTTGAGATGTTACAAAGTGATTTCATGGATGTTTGTCAAAAGAAACTAAGAAAGATGAATTGCAAAAATAAAAATAAAAAAGATCAAATAATTTGGAGCAGTTCAGCAATGACAGTCAGACAGACAGTGGGTTTTTACTTAAACACAGAAGAGATAAAACTTCCTTAATTTGCTTGCACGTTTTTGTTTCATGTTCAGATACTGACAGATTTCCCAAGCCAGGAGCCAGCGAGTTCAGAGACGTCCAGAGTTCCTGCAGCCTCAGCCGAGCACAGCTCCCCAAAGGCTGCAAAAGATCTAGGCTCTGGTTATGACAATGATGGCAAACAACGCCAACAGGACTTCCTTTTCAAGCTTGAAACAGGTTTCCAAACCTTTTTTTTGTAAATTCACTATTAGAAACTGTACCTTTGAGTCCTCAATCCTTTATTACTGCGCTTTGCTTTACCTAGGTCAAGCTAGGATTATAATACTTCAGAATTTTGGGGAGTTCTACCCCCTATTTTTGAATTTTGGTCATTTAAAGTTTATGATTTTTCTATTTCGATTTCTGGGAATGGAGTTGAGAGACGACCTAACCTGGGGAGAAAACAGCAAAGACCTGATGAAGAGAGCACAGCAGAGGTTATATTTTCTGAGAATCCTCCGGAAAAACAATCTCTCAAAGGACCTGTTGATGGCATTTTACCATTGTACTGTGGAGAGCATTTTAACTTATGGTCTGTGTGTGTGGTTTGGGAGCTACACGGTCAGGGGAAAACCAATGCTGTCCAGGGTTGTAAAGACTGCGGAGAGAATAATTGGGTGCACTCTTCCCACCTTGGATCAAATCTATGCTTCCAGGTGCCATAAGAAAGCTGCAGAGATAGCGCAGGATAGTGCGCACCCCGGAAATGATCTCTTTCAGCTTCTGCCTTCTGGAAGAAGGTCCAGGGTTATAAAGACCAGGACTAGCCGCCTGAGAGACAGTTTCTACGCAAATGCAATTCTGGTTCTAAACGCAGCATAAGGGGTCTCTAGTATAGCGTATTTTTAAATGGGGTTTCAGAGTTTTTTAGGGGTTTTTGAATGTTTTATGTAGTTTTATGTAGTTTTGTAGTAGTTTTATGTAGTTTTTCAATTTCATTGTTCTGCATGGGACAATGACAATAAAGATATCGTATATCTTATTTCATTCTGAGGAAAGTGAAATGAGGTTTGTAGCTGGCATCCCTTTAAGGCTTTGTCCAATTTTAGGTTTTCTCATTTTTTCCCTTCAGCTTTTTGATTTTTTTTATTATTTAGTTTACTTCCACAAGATAATATTTCTAGTCGATTATTTCTCGGTTCAGGGATTTTTCACGGTATTTCATTTGTTTTGTGCAACTGAAACAGCGGAACAGCTGAAAAGGAAACAGCAAGTGGACAGGGACCTCTCTGTGCAAATGCTAAAAGCGTACCTCCAAGATGACGACGAAAAAATGAATCAGTACTTCCTGCCTGCAAAGTCCTTACTGCGTTACGCTTTCCTTCTAGACATCGTCACCCCCTCTTGCAGAAGATCGACGTGCTTCACGAAAGGGTAAGCGTCTCTTGAAATTACGAGTTGGTGCAGTTTCCCAAATTTGGGTCTCCAGCTGTTTTTGGGCTACAACTCCCATCGTCCCCAGCTAGCAGGACCAGCGGTCAGGGATGATGGGAATTGTAGTCCCAAAACAGCTGGAGACCCAAGTTTGGGAAACACTGAGTTGGGGGAATATGATCAGAATATTAAAGGTTTTGACCTTTAAAGCCCTATGCAGCCTAGGACCCACGTACTTACGGGACTGCCTCTCCTGTAATGCCCCAGGGAGGACCTTAAGGTCCACAAATGACAACACTTTGGAGGTCCCAGGTCTCAAGGAGGTTAGATTGGTCTCAACTAGGGCCAGGGTCTTTTCAGCACTGGCCCCGACATGGTGGAACGCTCTTTCACAAGAGACTAGGGCCCTGCGGGACTTGACATCTTTCCTCAGGGCCTGCAAGACAGAGCTGTTCTGCCTGGCCTTTGGTTTGGACTCAGTCTGACCCTTATGTTTCCCTCCCCTTATGGTCTTGATTTATCGGCTACTTTTAAAATGAGGCTGCATTTTAAATTGCATTTTAATCTGTATTTTAAATTGTTCCCCCCCCCATGATGTTTTTACTGTGATTTTATTGGTGTTAGCCGCCCTGAGCCTGGGGTATAAATAAAATTTTTTATTATTATTTATTATAATTATGTCAGAATACAATATTTTCTTTGTAGCTTTCTTTTTTAAAAGCTAGCCAATAAACCAGACTCTTCTGGAACACACCCTTCCTAAATGCGCTGTCTCCTCTGTCTCCTTGGTTGCTGTACAGCACACACCCCCTGGTGTCACATTTTAATCACGTTAAGAGTGGAATATCATCAGAACCATTCCTAACTTTAAAAAAAAAAAAAGGTTTTTGTTTATATTTTTCAAGTTAATACATTTCATTAGTTTGACAATCAATTTCACATTTCAAAGTTTGACTTCCTTCCCCGTCTTTCTTCAGTTCCTTGCATTTTTTCTTCTGCATATCCAGAGTCATTTACAGTGGTGCCCCGCAAGACGAATGCCTCGCAAGACGAAAAACTCGCTAGACGAAAGAGTTTTCCGTTTTTTGAGTCGTTCCGCAAGACGAATTTCCCTATGGGCTTGCTTCGCAAGACGAAACGTCTTGTGAGTTCTTGCAAGTTTGCTTCCTTTTTCTTAAAGCCGCTAAGCCGTTAATAGCCGCTAAGCCGCTAATAGCCGTGCTTCGCAAGACGAAAAAACCGCAAGACGAAGAGACTCGCAGAACGGATTAATTTCGTCTTGCGAGGCACCACTGTAATTTGCTCATTTAATTATCTGCTTTATATATATACTGTTATATTATTATTATTATTATTATGAGCAGACTAGGCTGTGAGAACACCCAGCCCAAACGAGGGCTCACAAAGGACAATGTTGAATGGCTTTCAAATAAACTGAGCTACCCCGAGAGCAAAATGATGCTATTGGGTTGTTGTTTTGGGGCAAAATAATTTGTTAATGCACTTTGTATGGTTTATTCAAGACGGACGATGCATTATGCAGCATAATGTACCTACTCCTCATCAAACTGCCACTTATTCTCAGCTTGTTAGGTATCACGAATGTCAACAAAAGTATGACTTTTTCTAGTCGAATATCAAGAGGGCTTCCAAACAGGAGCTTCCAACAGGCGGTTGGAGGATGGATGGCAGCTAACAGATTGAGGTTGAATCCTGACAAGACAGAAGTACTGTTTTGGGGGGACAGGGGGAGGGCGGGTGTGGGGGACTCCCTGGTTCTGAATGGGGCAACTGTGCCCCTGAAGGACCAGGTGCGCAGCCTGGGAGTCATTCTGGACTCACAGCTGTCCATGGAGGCGCAGGTCAATTCTGTGTCCAGGGCGGCTGTCTACCAGCTCCATCTGGTACGCAGGATGAGACCCTCCCTGCCCACAGACTGCCTCGCCAGAGTGGTGCATGCTCTAGTTATCTCCCGCTTGGACGACTGCAATGTGCTCTATGTGGGGCTACCTTTGAAGGTGACCTGGAAACTGCAGTTAATCCAGAATGCGGCAGCTAGACTGGTGACTGGGAGCGGCCACCGGGACCACATAACACTGGTTCTAAGAGATCTGCATTGGCTCCCAGTACGTTTCCAAGCACAATTCAAAGTGTTGGTGCTGAACTTTAAAGCCCTAAATGGCCTCGGTCCAGTAGACCTGAAGGAGCGTCCCAGACACTGAGGTCCAGCTCCGAGGGCCTTCTGGCGGTTCCCTCACTGCGAGAAGTGAGGTTACAGGGGACCAGGCAGAGGGCCTTCTCGGTAGTGGCGCCTGCCCTGTGGAACGCCCTCCCATCAGATGTCAAAGAGATAAACAACTACCTGACATTCAGAAGACATCTTAAGGCAGCCCTGTTCAGGGAAGTTTTTAATGTGTGACATCTTAGTGTATTTTTTGTCTCTGTGGAAGCCGCCCAGAGTGGGTGGGGAAACCCAGCCAGATGGGCGGGGTACAAATAATAAATTATTATTATTATTATTATTATTCCTCAGCGAGGTTGGTAGCTCTATCAAACTGCTTTTCGAGACTTTGTAGAATGGAAGTCTGAAAGGGAGAACATGACAGACAGCATGAAATTCCTGGCTTTGGAGTGTAAATAGGGCAACCAGCGAATAAAATCCTATTTAGATTGAGTGCATTGTATGGTCTTCTATTTTTTAAGTTCAGACTGGCTAATTTTCCACACACACACAGATTGGCTGCATTCGATAATAATGTTTCTTGCAGATTCTTTCGCAAGTTCTGTCTTCTTAACCTCTGCACTCCATCAATTCTGGAAATCTCACCAGAATCTTAATACCTTGCTCAATTGATTTTTTTTTTTAAGGTATGGTCACTATATAGAAGGAACTGGCTCCGTGTTGCAGACAGCAGAGGAGATTCAGGTACAGTGGTCTCATTTATATATATAGTTTTGAGGTGTATTTAGGTGTGTTTTCAGAGCTTTCCTCCGGATGTATAAGCAGCAAAACACTTTGAAGAAATCAACCCGGAATCCCATATTTAATCAAATAAAAATATGGGTTATGTACAATCACAAAGAGAAACCTTTTCAATGTATGGAGTGTGGAAAGCTTCAGTGAAAATGGAAAACTTCGTGTACATCAACGAACTCACACCGGGGAGAAACCCTATAAATGTATGGATTGTGGAAAGAGCTTCAGCAAGAGTGGAGTGCTTAGAAATCATCAGCTGACTCTTACAGGGGGAGAAACCATATACATGTTTGCAGTGTGGAAAAAGCTCAATTCGTAGTGGGAAACTCACTGTGCATCAACAAAGTCACACTGGGGAGAAACCATTTAAATGTATGGATTGTGGGAAGTGTTTCAGTGAGAGAGGAGCTCTTAGAAAACACCAACGAACTCACACGGGGAGAAACCATTTAAATGTTATCATGCTTGAACATCAAAGCAGCAGAAATATGAGATGACTGGACCCTTACTGAACTTGAAGCATGGATACCCCCAACAAAAATTTAAAAAATTCGGCAAAATATTTGGATTTTATGATATGTATTGGTATAATTCGGATTAACTAATGTGATATGATTGGATTGTTAAATGGAAAACTTAATAAAAATTATTTTTTAAAAAAATGTTATCATGCTTATGATAGAATTTTATTCTCTTGTTAATTACCGTATTTTTTGCTCTATAAGACTCACTTTTTCCCTCCTAAAAAGTAAGGGGAAATGTGTGTGCGTCTTATGGAGTGAATGCAGGCTGCGCAGCTATCCCAGAAGCCAGAACAGCAAGAGGGATTGCTGCTTTCACTGCGCAGCGATCCCTCTTGCTGTTCTGGCTTCTGAGATTCAGAATATTTTTTTTCTTGTTTTCCTCCTCCAAAAACTAGGTGCGTCTTGTGGTCTGGTGCATCTTATAGAGCGAAAAATACGGTATGCTGTTTTAAATGTGTGTTTTATATTTGACTTCACTTAGCAATGTTTGTTTAAAATTATTAATTTTTGCTAACTTTGTGTTATATATGTATTCTGTAGCTTACCTCCTTTGTAATGTTTTATTTTGAAATCTTTTAAGGTAATATTTTAGTTCCCTGTTAATTATGTTGCTTTGACTGTATACTTTGTATTTGTCTTTTTTCAGAAATGTTTGATTGTGGATTGTTTTACTGATGTTTTCATATGCTGCAAACTGCTTTGAGATTTTTCTTAGAATATAAAGCAGTATAGAAATGAAATATAATAATAATAATAATAATAATAATAATAATAATAGCTTGCCCCTTACATTCCTGGACCCCTGTGGGTGCCTGAAGGAAAACCTGCTTCTTGGACCATCTCTTCCTTCCCATTTTGGAACCCAAAATCCGATGAGCCTGTGGCAATTAAAGTTTCAACTCAGCTCCTAAAGGCTCCTTCAGGGAGTGTTGTGGCAAATGTGGTATGCAATCAATTGCTAAAGAAGAAACGCATAGGAATTCTGTAAAGCGATTGGTTCACCCCAGAGGTGTTAACTTTTGCGTTTTCCCACAGCTGGAATCAGTGTTCAAATCCTTCGAGGGTTTGTCCAAAGACGAGAAGCTTACGAAGCTGTTGACGCTTAAACTGCGGTACTTTACGCCAAGAGAAATAGCAAATCTACAGGGATTTCCTCCTGAATTTGGTACGTGCCCAGTTAAACTACTACTGCAAATGCTAATTGTTGAATAGTGGAAAAGATGGACGAAGGACACAGCTCTGTTGGATTCACAGCTCTTTATTGCAGCAGTTAGAACTGCTCCTGGAATCAGACCGACTGCAGCCTAGCTGGCTGTTTTATATACTACTAAGTAACTTGAAACAGGGGGACACGGGTGGTGCTGTGGGTTAAACCACAGAGCCTAGGGCTTGCCGATCAGAAGGTCGGTGGTTCGAATCCCCACAATGGGGTGAGCCCCTGTTGCTCGGTCCCTGCTCCTGCCAACCTAGCAGTTCAAAAGCACGTCAAAGTGCAAGTAGATCAATAGGTACCACTCCGGCGGGAAGGTAAACGGCGTTTCCGTGCATAGAACTTCACTGCTAGAAATATGAAGTTGTTGCGCTTGGAACTGAGAAAATTCCTACGATGGAGGGAACTTGCATTTGCTTTTAATTATCTGTTGTTTTTTGCTTGTCATAGGTTTTCCTGACAAAGTAACCACAAAGCAGCGATACCGCCTGCTGGGAAACAGCCTCAATGTACACGTGGTTTCTAAATTAATCTCGATTCTGGTCGGGTAACGTTGGAACGGGATCAAGGGGAACTGACATCCTGCTACATCAAAAGATGGATTGCTTCTTTGGAAAAATGGAAAAATGCTCCCCATAGGTAGTTGCTAATGTTTAACATCATGATAACCTCAGGGATTTGCAATCTCCAAATGAATATTTAGCCCTTAGTTTGCATGACCTCCGAAATCGCATCTTCAACCAGGACGCCAATCAAGACGGAACATCAATTATTGCTGCCTGCTGTGCTATTTGGTACCCGCAAATTAAGGTCAACCATTCAAGGCCTCATTACCTAGAGACCCTGACTTTGAATCATGGTTCCAACAGATGTTCCTCAGCATCCTTAGAGTAAGGTTACCAGATTTTTACCTCTCTCTTTTTTCCTTTCTCCTCCTGTGATGAGGCTGCATTTTAATGTTTTCATGTTGTATTTTAATCTTGTTTTCAAGTTGTATTCATTCAACTTGTTTTTATTATTGGTTGTTAGCCGCCCTGAGCCTGGCCTTGGCTGTGGAGGGCAGGGTATAAATAAAATTTATTATTATTTTTATTATTATTAATGAATCCGGGGGCACTTTTCAACTCCAGTAGGAATGATAGGATTTTGTCAGGGGACTGATGTGTAAATCCGGGGACTGTCTCCAGGAAACGGGGACGTCTGGTAACCTTACCTGGAATTCCTCCTATGGAACAAAAATGCATTTGTGGAGGCAAGCAGGTCAAGGATATCATGAATTACCTGCTGAATTGCCCGTGTTACGGAAATTACGGGGGGGGGCACATCTTTAAAGTTGTTAAATGTTACAAATATTATGCATAAATTTATCCTTTCGACTTGACAGCTCAGGGAAGTTACCTAGCTTTAAAAATAATATAAAATCAATTCCTTTGCCAGTTTCCTCCATTCCAAAGCTATTTTCCCCTTGAAAAGGGACTCCAGGAAGTTCCCAGAGGTGACAATTGCTGAGCTGATTGTTGGCCAAGGAAAGCCTAATCCCAGCACCAGACTTGCCAAGGGGTCCAGACATGCAAAGGAAGTTCTATTGTACTTTGGGTGGTGGGACTTCAGAGGTGTTTGCCTATGCTAATCTTACACCTGGGTCTTGCCTTGACATGTCTGCTTATGCTAATCTTGTACCAAGGACTCGTCTGGACCCGTTTGCCAAGGTTAAACTAGTGTAACCCTTGTCTACCCCTCCCCTTTGGTGACATGTCAGTGATGTAGCAAGGATGCTGTACGAACTGTATTCTGGGATATGGTGGGAAAGTTTTAAAAGTCCTTGTCACCCCATCCTCGGGGTTCAAAATTCCTCTTGGAACCTGTTGCGCAATAAACTTTGGTCTACAGCTATTTGCTCCGGTTGGCTGGACTCCTTCCTTTATTCCACAGGGACCCGCGGGCTCTGCCCGACGAGATGGGTGACTGAGCAGCCTCGCACCTAGATTTTTCCGTAACACCCGTTTTATACCGCACCCAGGGAATTTTTTTTATCGTCTATTAACTGTTTCTCAGGCCGATCCCCCCCAGGAAGTAACACACTCTTGCTGATAAAGATCTGAAAGTTACACACCTGGTAGACAAGTTTACACTGGCAGCTAAGAAGCTCTGTTCCTGCTTTTTTGTTTGTTTGTTTCTTTTAAGCCAGGTAGCGCCCATGGGTCTCAAACCGCTGGAAGCGATTAGGGGATCTACGCAATGCTTTGGTCAATGGAACCGCTGGGCTGAACTGGCTTGTCTGTTCCTGCTTTGTTAATGTATTCTAATTTTAAAACTATGCTGTAAAAAATAGACTAAATCAGACTAAACAACAACAGACTACAGGGTTTGATTGGTCCTCAGTTGTGGGACTTGGCGGTGAGGCCCTTAGGACCGTGGATGGTGGTTTTAGGCCTTGGCAAGGTATCCTTTAGTCTATCATCAAGTCAGGGGGATGCATTCATGCTCCCTCCCCATGCGGTGGCGCTTGCAGGGCCCGTTAAAGGGCAAAAACGGAGTCCCGGGACCTAGAACAGCAGCATGTAGGACAAACTCCCGGGACGAGGTTGATTGAAGGGCAGGCTGTGTAAGTTTGCGCTTTGCAGTCCCCTCTCACTGGACCTCATCTGCCTACATATCCTCTGCCAGGTAGGCTGAGAGGGTTGCCTGCCAAGGCCCGTGCCAAGTTTCCCATGTCTGAAGCTCAATAAAGTCATGGCCAATTCGAACCCCATACTCTGGTCTCTTGTCTCATCATTTGGGGTAAAGGGGTGGCCACCACAGACAGGGTTTAGCGTGTGTGCCCGCAATTTCCGCCCTTCCTTCCCCACAGGTGGGCTGGGTTTGCAGCACCGAGCTGGGCTCACCTGGGCAGGTGCCACCCACCTGCTTGAGCTGGCCTTTGACCCATCCTCTGCCAGGGAGGACAATGGACGGCCGGCCAGGGGTGGGGTTAAGACCAAAGAAAAGAGGCTGACCCTGTTGTCCAAGCCTCTTTTGGTTTTCTTCCTTCCAGGATCACCCACCCCCTCCCTCCCTCCAATTAATAATTTCTTGCCTACATAATTTCTTCCTAGGTCAGCGATCTTCAGGTTAACGATTCTTTCCTTACAGGCTAATATTTTGCATTTCAGGTCAGCGGGCTCCGCTGCAGTCCTAAGATGCTTGCTGTATTCAGAACCGGGAAGGAATTTTCCCTGCATTGGCAGGTTTCGCCTTCCCCGTAGCATTTCGTCACAACTTTGGCGGTTTTTAGGACTTGGCAATGTGTCCTTTAGTCTAACATCAAGTCAGGGGGAGATGCATCCATGCTCCCTCCCCATGCGACGGTGCTTGCAGGGCCCGTTAAAGGGCAAATACCGGGCGTCCCTGGCCCTAGAGCGGCGGCCTGTAGGTCAAACTCCCGGCACGAGGTCGGTGGAAGGGCAGGCTGTGTAAGTTTGCGCTTTGCAGTCCCTTCTCATTGGACCTCATCTGCCAGCATATCCTCAGCCGGGCGGGCTGAGAGGGCTACCTGCCAAGGCCTGTGCTGAGTTTCCCACGTCTGAAGCTCGATAAAGTTGTGGCCAATTTGAACCCCATATTCTGGTCTCTTGTCTCATCATTTGGGGTAAAGGGGTGGGCACCACAGACAGGGTTTAGCGTGTGTGCCCACAAACAGCTTTACACATACAGCTCAGTTACTGGAGACACCAAAAGGTAAGATACAACAGCTGTTTTGAGTAAAACTAAGGCGTAAACTGGCTATGCTGGCCGGATCAAGGACAAAAGGGGGAGCTAGTCTCAAACGTTTGTTGGGGGAGACCTAGGTTTTTTTTGGGGGGGTCATTTGTCCTGTCTTCACGCTTTTTAAGATGGAGGACCGCTGTAGCCACCCCCAACAACACGTTCTCAAGATGGAGGGTGAGGGAACAGCTGCAGTCGCCTGCGGTTCCTGCGCAATGTTTGCCATCTTGCCAAAGGTTGCAGGCAGCTTTACCTGCAGCAATTGCATGTTGATTGCCCTCTTAGAAGACAAAGTCCAGCAACTGGAGGAACGTGTAGCTACGCTCCAAAGAATTAGAGAGCTGGAGCTCTTCTTGGAAGCAACAGAGAACACCGTCTCCACCAAGGAGGAGACAGGGGACTCCCTGAGAAGGAGGCTAGTTCACCAACACAGGAGCCAGATATATGGAGAAACGTGACTCAAAGAAGTAGGAGGCCCAGGGTTCGCTCTGATTGTTTAGAAATACACAATCGCTTTGAAGTCCTCTCCCCTAGCATGGAAGACGAAGAACAGACTCCATTTGAGGATCTCTCCCTCATTACAGTCAATCATGTATATGAAGACGAGCAGCAAAGTCAGTCCTCAGGGAATGTGCAGGCGACCTTGGAACGGACAGCTCACGGAAGAACCCCGACCAAACCTAAGAGGAGGCGTGTAGTGGTGATAGGGGATTCCCTACTGAGGGGAACAGAAGCAGTGATCTGTGGGCCTGACAAGATGTCTCGGGAGGTGTGCTGTCTCCCCGGGGCTAAGATCCAAGATGTAACTGAACGACTGCAAGGAATCATAAAACCCACTGACAAATACCCCTTCCTCTTGGTTCATGTGGGAACCAATGACACTGCAAGCAATAGCCTCCAGAAGATCAAAAGAGACTACGAGGCTCTGGGCAGGAAATTGAAGCAATTAAATGCACAAATTGTCATCTCATCTGTCCTCCCAGTTGAACGACGTGGCCCAGGGAGAGAGGGAAAAACAGTGGAAGTGAACAGCTGGCTTCGCAAATGGTGTAAACAGGAATGGTTTGGATTCTTAGATCACAGACTGCAGTTTCTTGAAAATGGACTTCTGGCAAGCGATGGGCTGCACCTCACAACGGTTGGGAGGAATGTTTTTGCCAAAAATATCAGAAACCTCATCAGGAGGGCTTTAAACTGACTAATGTGGGGGAGGGAGACAGTGCTCCTGAAGGTAGGAGTCTATCAATTGATGAAGATGATCATCCAAATGTCATAGACCAAATGGAGCAAACAGCACGCAGACCTAGTGGTGGGAGGAAAAAATCCTTAAATAAGAGACACGGGGGAATGATTAATGGACTTCAATGTCTGTACACTAATGTGCAAAGCATGGGAAATAAACAAGATGAGCTTGAGCTCTTGGTACAGCAAACTAAATATGACATAATAGGCATCACTGAAACCTGGTGGGATAAGTCCCACGATTGGAATGTAATAATGGAGGGATACAATCTATTTCAGAGAAACAGACCAGACAAGAAAGGGAGGAGGAGTGGTGTTATATCTCAGGGAGGTGTATACCTGTGAAGAGATCCAAGATTTAGAACCTCAAAGCCAAAGTGAGAGCATTTGGGTCAAAATTAAGGGAGAGAAGAATAACAGTACTATACTATACAGCGGAAAGGAGCAGCCAAGCATACTAGGACTCAATTTCTTGACTTTAAAAAAGCCGACTTCATAAAACTTAGGGAAGTGCTGGGTGAGATCCCATGGACAGTAATACTAAAAGGAAAGGGAGTTCATGATG